AGACACGGCTCATTCATGAAGAACAATACCACAACTGCAGGCATCCTATGCAGAGCTGAGGAGATCTCCCCACCAGAACTACAAAAGAAACAAAGCCCAGCAGCCTACAGTATACAGTACATCTTTTGATCTCTGCCTACATGGTTAAGCTTTCCACTAATGCTAAATAAACACTAAATCAGCAAGGATTTTAATTTATCTTCAAAGTTCTGATAAATGGCAAACATCTGTTGAATAATTAGGTGCCTAGAAAATAAGGATGTAAAATTACAATTTGTATCATATAGTCCAGAGATGTGCTGTCTTATATTTTGATAACCATTATATATTTTATTAAAATTATGGAACTGATAAATATGCTTCTGGAATTCTAGATAAAAGATCTAGAACCCCCAAACAAACAGAGATCAAGTGAATCCCCAAATTCTGTTCATTTTCCTAGACTTAAGGATTGAAAAGTTTTTGCATTTCCTTGCCTTGGTGGGATTTCAGTATGAAGGAGACGAGAGGAAAGCATGAATTAATAATATTCAGAACACTTTTAACTTACAGTGACAGGCAAATGGAAACAATTTGAAGTAGGACTGGAAACTCACTCAGCAAAATACTCTAGTTCAGCAGTTCTATATGGCAGTGACATCATAAAACTGTAACAGAAATGTCATGCTAACTCAAAAAGTTGCAAATACTGTAGTAATATATACTGCAAATGGGAAGACCCAAGGAAAACAAAAATAGGAAGGAGAGAGTGAGTCATAAAAAGCCAGCTCATTAATCAAGTAAATAAATGCTGACAGAAGAAAATGTAAAGAAAATTATTCTAAGAAATGAAAGAATTAAAAATGGACTGATTTAAATGTATATGTTACTTACAGACTTATGACAGAGTATAACCTCTCATTGTGCTGCAGTTTAGGACCATCACTGCTGCCATCACATCATGCCTGATTTTTGTGTGTATCTACTATAGGCATTTTTTGTTTTCTTCTCAGCCGATTCTCTTTTAAAAACAGAGCAGAAACAAAACTTTCCTCCAGTCAGTGGCTCACCAATTCTTAGTCCCTATTTTTTTCCAAAAATTTTAACCGATTTCAAGCTGCAGGAAAATCAGATGTAGACTGCACATGCGGTTTTTTTATATCTTAAAGCTAGCATTGTTCTTTGGAGCAAAATCTTCTGTATGGCAAACTACGTCTTAACTAATCACTAGAATTACTTCTTAAGAAACCAAATGAAGTTCAAATTGCTTATTTGCTCTATTTAAAGAAAGTGTTGTTAACTCATGTTCCTTGGAAGTCTCCATAGTTCCTCAGGATCTGCAGTACACTGCAGATCCTGCCGTTTTACCAGCATTGTAATTGTTGCAAGAGTCTTGAGGCACTGTTAAGCACGCACTGGTACAAAGGCTCCAAAAGGCACTTCTGTGCACGTCCTTCTGGTCTTTGGTGAGTGCAGAAGGTGCCTCTCTCTGTACTGCTTTTTGGGAAGACCGTTTGGCACCTTTTTCCCCACGTCCCACGATATGGTAGGACTCCAAGTGTGTTGTCCAGGCCCCCTAGCCCCAGTGAGCGGAAGGACTGCTGGTTTCGTCCCCTCCTTCACAACACCTCTTGAGAGGAAACAGGGAAGAGTTGTAGGACCAAACTCCCTTTCCACCCGGGGACAGGGAGACATAGGACCTGCACAAGATACCCTGCCGCCCCAACCCAATGAAACCCCATTTCGGCATCCGCCTTTCACTCCTCCCAAGCCCTGATTAACGTGGCCCTTTTGCTTCCCAAAAGCAGCTGGTGGCAGCAAGCGCAGCTCTTCTCCTACGCTGGCTTGCGCTGCCTGTTGGCAGCTCCGAGGAGAGGAGAGGCGTCTGGAGGTGACTGGGGCAGAAGGCGCCGACTCCCATGGCTGAGCCCCACGCCTCCCCCTGGCCCTCTGCCTTTCTCCAGCTTGAGAACCAGTACCCTGATGCAGAGTATACTTAGCAAGTCTTAGGAAGCCCAACCCGACGTTTTTCCTTCATCCAGAAGATGCAAATGCTCCGTTAAGTACAGTACTGTGAATGGGAAAACATGTCAGGAAGGGGTGGCGTGGGGATTTCCGAGGTTTCTGTGTGGGGATTGCTGAGATTTTTTTTAAGAAAGGCAGTATCTGAAAAGCCGAAGTGCAAGCAGTTCGCAACCCACTTCCCAGTAATGAAACCAGTGAACCTATTCCCAGGGTAAGGAGGTTTTGGAAAAATTGGTCATTATGTTCTATTGTGAATTCATTAGTTACGCATTTACAAAGGGACATCACACACACAGAAATTTCATTTTACAATCAAGATTATGATTCAGACTAGACAAAAGCAAACAGTGGATTAGCACAGACATTCCCACCTTAATTTACACATCCATAACATTACTCTAACACTTTTGTGCTTTTTTTTTTCTTTTAATGTGATCTCCTTAGAAGGCATATTATTCCTTAAACAAACTAACACAAGTTCTCAAGTTATCTCAGGATAGTTATTTCAAAAGACAATGCAATATTTCATAATAAACATTTATAATCAGTTTTTTAACAAAGTAATTCATCATATAAACAAATGAATCAGTCAGACACTAAATAAATATTTGCACTGGTAAATACTAGCATTTTGCTTATATCATGTAGGACCTGATCCTGCAAGCCCTCTGTATACATCTTTATCCCCACTGAATGATTGGTTTCATTTCTTGTTCTAATCTACTATTTTACTTTGAGCTGAGCAAATACATTCTGGCGACTAAGCTAAGTAATTGAAATAAGCACTGGAATACATCCCAGCAGACAATGATTTCCTTAGATGTCTTTGTAAATCATTATTTTTTTATGTTTATGAAAGCATCACAAACATTTATCAACAGGCATTCAGTTTTTGATATTTACAATCTGAGTTGCATCAGTTAGTCGAGATTGATCAAATACATTTTATGTTCCTTGTTCTTGGCTCTCTAATTGAACAAAACGTCACTTTTGCACTCAATTTAAAGCGCGGTTTCCAAGCATTATTTCGTAAGTAATACTGAATTTTACTTTCTCCAGACATTTGAGCTCACAATACTGGGCTAGGAAGGCAAGAGCTGCCAGGAGAGTAACAAGCCAGGAGCCCTCCTTGGGGAGGGCAGACAAGCATGAATTACCTTCTGTCTGTTCTCATCTACCACAATCACTACCTTCTCCAAGGCAATGGAGATGGCCTTTTTTAAAGCATACAAAAAGCTATGGCCAACCCTTTAATTCTGAGTTTACTCACTCCTTTTCAGGGATGCCTTTTTCCTTGCATGGTAAATCCAGAACAAAGAACTGCAGAGAAGAGGTATTAACGGACCTACACACCCTCCTGGTGCCTCAGGAAATTTATCAGGTATCTTCGTACAAATAGATATGTCAATGAATTCCAATCTCTTGGTTGGTTTTTGAAACGAAACAGAAAGAGTCAGTTAGAGCTGAAAATGTATTTAAGCATCTGAAAACTTAAATTCAGTAATTGCTTACTTTTTCTTGCCCATCTCTGTTTGAAATACAGTTTGAAATCAAGGGTACTGAGGTTAGTAGATGTACCCGCTGTATTAATTTAAGTTTGGCTGAATCCTGATGGTTCCTTGGATGCCTTTGAGCTCTTACCACAGTATAACATGAAACGTTCCAAGCATGTGGCAAAAATAACGATTGTAACAAATCGCTACCTGAACTAAAAAGAGGAACATATTTTGAAATTACTCGCTATCTATCTATATATAGGGATACACACACACACATACACACACACGCGCACATATATATCCCTATATAAACATTTCTCTAACATACAGAAGTTGATTTTATTATTTCTTATGTTGGTCTCATTTTAAATACTTTACTCTGTGAATCCACAATATGACAACTTCAGGCTGTCCAGAGAGATAAATCTTAACACAGTCTTACAACCTCCACTAATATAAATATATTGGCAAGGAACTTTGACCAGCAACAGTAAACTTTGAAAATTAAATAATTATTCTACAATTATTTTAACAACAAATTGCTACTGAGTACCAATATTCATGGAAACGTAAAAAAAAAAAAGATACAGCTTTAACTTCTAACACTCTGTATCAAGTGCAGCTTTATGAAAGGAATGTAAAAGAAAATTATGTATTAGAGACTCATTCTAAAAAGAGAAACAGCAACTTATACTATGTGTTTCAAACAAAGAATACTGTATGCCTGCACTTCATCATAAATAACCATGTTAAGTCATAGTTTCTTCTTGCCTGCAAATGAGGGACGTTGGTTCACAAATTTTCTAAAGTGTACATGAACATTTGATTAAATCCTGTTCCTTGTGAAAATAAAGTTCATTTACACTTAGAGTGAACAACAATGAGGAGCTTGTTATTATAATAAGACATTTAAGGATCTTGGTAGCCAGTACCAGTTGTATTTGCAAGTAGCTCCTCAGCTTTTCTTTTTTTTTTAAAAATAAAGGTACAATCATAGTTATTCATTTACTTTAAAAATTCTAAAGATGAAGAAAAGTAGCGTTTATACATATAAGTCCTCATATAAATTATAAAACTCAAGTTTATCTTTTAGAGTTCCATCCCCAGAAGAAGCATAAAGCACTTTTGTGGTACCTTCACCAGTAAATATTTGTATCACATCAAATCTGAGAAATGCAACAAAGATGATACTGCACCCCAAAGCCGAAACAGAACATTCTTCTGATGCAGTCTCTTGTGATGGATGTGCTCCACGGGATCATATGATTGCCGTGACTTGACTAAATTTCAAATAAAGGAAGTACGA